ACCGTTTGCGGCCTAGGTCAAGAACGAACATGTACTGCTGACGTATTGGTTTTACCAGGTGGCAGCACGACAATCAATGAACCGATGTTCATTTTTGAAGGTCTTACATATCAAGAAGTTCAAGGTGTACAATCTGGTCGATGGGCAGTAGAGAAATCTATTTTTGATAAATTAAATGCAGGCGTTGACTTACCTAATGAAGATCGTTGTGAAAAATTAGATACAATTATAAAAGACTATTGTATGGAAAGAATATGGATAGATTCACCAATAATAAAAAGTGTAGCTGACTTACTGCCATCACTCGATCAGATTCGTAATGGTGGAATTGATGTTGTTAGTAATCAAGATTTAATTGACTCAATTGAACCATTCAACGAATTAGCCGCATGTTACGCTCAATTATCAATAAAAGATCTTGATATGAATCTCGTCGATAACCAGTATCATCCTTTATTAAATGCATGTAACTCTCTTGTCGCTACTTTACATGAACAAATAACATCACATTCTACACAACGTCGTCTTAGACAGTTATTCGATCGTTTTCCTCGTCTCAAATCACTATTAACCTTATTAGATACATATGGCTCGCGTCTGAAAGACGTTTTTACTGGACAACAGAATGGTTTAGATGTATTCTTAGGAAACAACGAAACTGAACGAGCATTACAAGATATAAAAACTATTATGAGTGCACTTAAAACAGAGCAAATATTTCATGCAATTTGTCAACATCTTCACATCTCAAACGATCAGAATAGCCATGGATCGCTTAGCGATCGACGATTACGTATACTTTGGTTTGCCAGTGGTGAACAAATGGACGTTCTACCTGTTCTTCATCTTTTACTTAATTTATCACGTCAAACAAGTTTATGGATTGATTTACATTATACAGATATGGATCCAGTACAACTCGCACAAGCTGAGCAACTATTTGAGACACATTTGGCTGATCAAACTCATTTAAATATAATATACGATCAAGCAACGGACTTGTTTAACAATGAAATTCTTGAAAAAATTCCAGTCGAATCGTTTGATATTGTGTTTGCTGCAAATAAATTACAGGAAAGTGAAGATTTGACGACATCGTTAATTAATCTTCGTCATCTACTTGTTCCGAATGGTCTTCTTTTATTACTTGAGTTAACTGATGTTCCTCTCTATTTTGATCTTATCTTTGGTTTACTCGAGCATTGGTGGTTACCATCGAGTAATGAACGTGCACTTCATAATATTCATCAATGGACTACAGCTTTAAAAGAAATTGGTGGATTTGAAGATGTCGATACGGTGATGAGTCACTATGAAAGTACACTAATTATTGCTCACAAGACAATATCTCATAAGATATTACAAACACTTGATGAAAGACAACAACAAGCATGGTTAATCTTTGCCAAAAATGATCCTGAAAGTCTTGGTCATAACATCATACCACTTTTGCCATGCTCAAACAATCGATTTTTGGATATATCTGCATCAACGATTGACACAATTCGTTTTGTACTTAAAACAATGATGAATAACTATAAACAACTATACATTGTTTTTGCTTGGCCATTCGAGCAAACTTGTCTCAATGACAACAACGAGTTGCCATTTAAAGAACACGAAGAGTCTATTTGTGGCGCATTTATCCAACTTCTTCAAATAATTTATGCAATAGCACCTAATTTTCTTCCATTTATATTTGTTATCACAAGACATGCGCAGCTCAATACTGGTTCCGACTGCAATATAATTCAATCACCACTTATTGGTCTTGTACGAAGTTTGATGGTTGAATATGAACAACATCGATTGAAGCTCATTGATCTACAAGCACCACCAACAATGATTAATGAATCAGCACTTGTTTATGCTCTGGTACAATATATGATAACTTCTCGATATACAAAGAATATTAATGAAATTGTTCTTCGTTTTGACACAAATGAAAAGAAAGTCAAACATATCACATGGAATTATGAAATGTTGCAAACACATGATGAAAAAGAAGATCAATCAAAACTAAAACAAATTTGTATTATCCCTCAACAAGATGCTAATCAACAACCATTCCGTCTTCGCGTGCCTCCATCTCGTTTTGTCACTGAATTAACATGGATTCCCGACAAGAGAGCACAAGAATTACTGCCAGGTATGGTAGAAGTTCAAATTCATTGTGTAGGCATTAACTTTCGCGACGTATTGAAAGCACGAGGTCTGTATCCACATACTCGTAAATTTGCACAATTGGATGAAGATCAGCCACATATGAATCGAGATACTGAACCAGGTTCAGATTTTGTTGGGACTATCATACGTGCGTGTCCTAATGTCACTTTTCAACCGGGTGATCGTGTCGTAGGTATCTCTTTACGTGGTGTATTCCATTCACATGTTATTGTCGACTCAACACAAGTAGTGCGTATTCCGTCCGAATGTTCTCTCACTGATGAACAATTATCAGTTATGCCCGTTATATGTCTGACAGTCATCTATTCTCTTAAATATCGCGTTCATTTGCGACCTGGTCAAACTGTTCTTATTCATGCTGCAACGGGTGGTGCTGGTCAAATTTGTATACAATATTGTCAATGGATTGGTGCTCGTGTTTTAGCTACAGCTGGAACTGAAGAAAAGCGACAGTTTTTACGTGAATATTGTGGTGTCGAATATGTATTCAATAGTCGAGATGCTTCTTTTGTTAGTGGTGTAAGAAGTATTCTACCTCATGGTGTTGATGTTGTCATTAATTCTTTATCAGGTATTCTTCTACAAGAATCCATTAAACTACTTGCTGATCATGGTCATTTTGTTGAATGGGGAAAACGAGATGTTTTTGACAAGTCTCCATTGTCTATGTTTGACTTTCGATCGGATTGTAGTTTTCATGTCATTGATTTAGTTTCACTTTCTAACAAACATCCAAATATTTGCACTGCTATGCTACAAGAAATGATTGATTTACTTATTCAAGGCAAATTAAAAGCAATCGAACCCACAGTTGTCTATGAACCATCTCAAGTGATTGGTGCATTTATGAGAAGCAATAGTGGTCAAGCCATGGGCAAAGCTGTAGTTCGTCTAACCAATTCTAATGAATCACTCTGTTTAAACAGCGTACATCATAATGATATTATGTTTCCGTCAAATGTTTGCCAACAAGGAACAATTCTTATTTCTGGTGGATTTGGCGGTCTTGGATTGACAATGTCTCGGTGGATGATAGAGAAACGAGGTGTAAAACGTATTATTCTTATGAGTCGTCGGAAATTAGCTGAACTTGAACAATCTTCTAATCCACAATATGATGATTGGCTACGTTTGAAACAAACAATAGATGAATATCACGCTCATGTTGATGTTGTACAAGCAGATGTGACAAATTTTGATCAAGTGCATGATCTGATCAAAAAATTAAGTCACACCTCTTATCCTGTTCGAGGAATTATTCACAGTGCTGTCGTTGCAGAAGACCGAACTTTGGCTAAAATGACACAAGAATATTTGATACATGTTTTAGCAGCAAAAGTTCGTGGTGCTTGGATTCTTCATCAAGTTACACAGCTCACTCATGCTCCTCTTCATTTCTTTCTCATGTTCTCGTCAATTCGAAATCATCTACTTGAAGTGGCATCGTCCGGTTACAATGCTGGTAATCAATTTCTCGATGCTCTTGCTCATTATCGTATGACTCAACTAAATGTACCCGCTCTCTCCGTTAGCTTGCCTGCTGTAAGTGGTGCAGGTATGTTTCATCGACAACGAGATATGCTTAGTACCTTACAAAGTACACATGGTTTTGAAGTATTGCCACCAATAGCTGTATTCGAGCTGATCGAACGCTTCCATGCAAATCAGAAGACTTGTCCATGCCCTGTTATTTTTGCTGTTAATTGGCAAACATTATATGAAAGACGTCACAAACTACCATTATTTCAATTGAGTAAAATAGTAGAAGCACGCTATACTATTATGAAACTCACAAATATGTCAACAACATCAACAGGACTCAATAGCACAACTAGTTCGAATTTGAATCGAAAAGAAACTATTATTGAACGAATTCAAACGGCTGTAGCACGTCTTTTAGGTGCAGCCGATATTGATCGTATTCTAGTTGATCGTTCATTGGTTAGCCAAGGTATGGATTCATTAGCAGCTCTGTCACTCTATAATTGGTTAGGACAAGAGACTAGCGTTTATATACCATTAGTTGATCTACTTCAAGGATATTCTATTGAAACTATTGCAACGGTAATTCATAATAAACTCAACGAACGACATCAAATTGTATCATCGACTACTAAAGAAGAAAACATGGATACTGGTCTAATCGAAGAAAATGAAATAAAACTATCTCATAACTCTAATTACACTGGTATAGAGAATATCATCTGTCTTCAAGATCCACAGCAGTGCAATAGTCATGTTTTCTTCTGTATTACAACACAGTCACCAACCAATACTGATAGTCTGAATAAATTATTCATTGATAAAATATCTGAGCAACAAAATCAAACAAAATCAGTTGTCGTTTATGCTATAAAAATACCATCAACAGCATCGACATCTACTTGTGCTCGTGATATGATTTTGCAAATGCGTCGTATCCAACCACGTGGACCTTATCAATTAGTAGCTGCCCGCAACAAACAGGAAGAAATCATTGCACATGAAATGATAAGGCAGCTCAAAGATCATCTTATGATTATCGACACTCAATTACTGCTTTTGGACAATTAGAACCAACTCTCCGAACATTGGTGGTGGGCTTAGTTATAGAATTCTTAATAATCAAACTAAAGGGACTCGGAAGTAAAATTCATGCATCTTAGTACTTCAGCATTCGTATGTAGTGTAGCAAGAAATATATAGTTTGACATAAACTTTTTTTCTCAACATTCACTATTATTTTTTCTGAATAAAAGATTTTATTGTTAATTTGGGCATTTGAAGTAATTTTATTTTTTAATAAGAAAAATTTAGACAAAAAAAGTATCATATTATGATAACCAAATTTCAATAGTTTGACCATTATTTTTGACATTCATCATTTGTTGATTAATAATATTAAGGGGAAATACTTGACGGCGTTTCGTAGTAATATAATCACGTGTAAAATAATCATCAAGTAATGTATCTTGGTGATAATTAATTTTCACATAAGATAATTGTTCTGATTGAGTAAGTAATACTTCAATAATAAATGAGCAAATATCAAATGAAAATACTTGTGGTTCAATATGAACCAGTGAAGGAAAACGTTCAACAAATTGTAAAATAAAATTTGAAGGAAAATAAACATCTTCAGTAATTAATTTAATCATTTTAATTTGTTTGAAAACTGGAATAAGAGTTAAATTATTAATTATTTTTGAGGAGAGTAATAATGAAGTATTAATTGTAAGATTAATCACATTTGGACATGATCTAATACAAAAAATATATATTAATAATAGTAGCGTTCTAAAATTTAAAAGAACATATACTTTAAAATAAATTCAGCATCTTTCCATTGATTAACATGAAATGTTGAATGAAATTCTAATGTAGTTATATTTGTTAAATAAACAAAATTTGATAGATAAGTAAGATTTTCTTGTGCATTGTTATCATTAGTTGTTTGTCGAATATTAACTAAAACAAAACGAAAAATGAGATCGTACATATTTGTATATAATACAGAATGAATTATTTTTATCAAATTAAAAAAAATCTTTTATTTGTACCTATATTAAATAACTCGTTCCAGAATGATGATTTTATTATTGGCATTTCTACTACTAAAAGATTAGTAACATTTTGAAATAAAGGAGTAGACCAAGTAACATTTGAATTTATATTTTGTATATACAATTTTAATTGTGTTATGTCAGAATAAAATGAATAATGATCATCAATTGTTTTTTCTGTTGTTCGTGTTTCAAATGTTCTGCAATGAATACAAGGTAAATCTACTTTTGCAATAAGTCTGCCTTTGATATAGTTCTTTGTTCGTAACGTAATAAGTTCATCTAAATACAAAAAAAATGTATTCAATAAAAATTTAATATTAATTCAGATTTAGTTTCATATTGTTAATTTAATTATTTTGAATCATCTTATTTACCTTGAAGACGAGGACCATACATACATCTATCAACAATCATATTCCAATTGGAATATTTTGTAACAAAATAATTAAATGGATTAATAACAAAATCTAAATCTACTTTTGGTCTTCTTTTTGTAACAGTCATATGAAATTCAAATTTTGATAAATATGAAACATTATTTTCTAATATTTGTTGCCATACATGTCCATCAAGATATTGATTAGTAAATGGAAATGATGTTGTTTGTACAAAAAGATAAAAATAAAATTGTTTAAGATTAGGCATACAATTTAATATAGAAGAAATCGACCAAATATCACATAATGCACAAATGCGTAAGTGGAAATACGTTAATTGTGATAGTATAGGAACTTCAGTTGCATTTATGGGTGATAGATGATTTGAAACACTGATATAAAAGGATAACTTTTTTT